AATTTATTTTTTCTTCTGATTTAATAATATATTTTAATAAATTATTTTTTAATTAATTTTATATATTTATTTTTGAGCTAATTTCCATTTTTTTTATTATTTATTTTTCTTCAATTATTGTGTAATAATTGAAAATATATTTGTAGCATTTTTTTAATTTTAATTAAAAAATTTTAATATAAAATCAAATTCTTAAAAAAAAATATTATACACTTATGTGTAACTGTTAATTAATTTATGCCAAATAAGTTAATAACTGCATTGTTAAATTAACAGTGTTTCGTAAAACAAAATTTTATAATTTTTATTTTTAAGTTCATTTCATTTCGATTTTATTTTCTAATATGAATTTATAGTATAATATTATATTTTCTATGTATTTGTTTATAATAGTGTTAACATTTAATTTACATTTATTATAAAATTATATTTTAACTATCATATATTTTAATGCAGAACAGACAGACCAAATTTATTGTATTTTAAAAAATTTTGGATGAATTGTAAAAGGCATTCATCTTACATGACAAAATTTAAAAGAAAATGTTTGAATAAATTCGATTAATTAATTTAATTTCAATTGGCGCCTGAACATGTACCAATTTAATTTCATTTAAAATTTGCTTATAGTTTTTTAAGAATATTATTTAAAATAATTAAATGTTTTGGAAATGCATATTAGATATTCTAAATAAATAGAATTTATTCAAATTAAGTAGTAAAATAATTTTTTAATTTAATTAAAATATTTTCTTTTATTAATTGGAAAATTAAAATTTTGTTGCTTTCAAAAAATCATTCTGCATTGAAATTTTTCTGTTTTATATTTTTTTCATGTGTGTATATATATTTTATATATATATATATATATATATGTATGTGTGGTATGACAAGGTTGGTTATAACATCAATATTACATAGGTATATTTATTTTTTCTTATATAAATTTTTTTTCATTATTTTTTTACACATGCACGTTATATGTATTTATTTAAATTCAGATTATCCTGTAATAATCCTTTAATTTCAATGGAATTATTTCGTTTGTATATAAGTTTAAATATAGATTCTATAAAGGGAGACCGTAATAAAGCGTAACTTGCAATAATACTAGTATCCGTGACATCAATAATACTTTATAAAAAGTTTAAGTATGGTAGTATTACGAATGTACTACACCATCTCAGAGCTTTCAATACCTTTACATTTAAAAAAAAAACTACTAAAATTTTAAATACGTTTTGGAATACAATTTTTTGCAACATTAATACATACTTTGACGTTTGTTTGAAAATTTCAATTTAAAGTCCTGTGCAAATGTTGAATTTTAACAAACGTTACCACATCATTAAAAACATAGCATTTTTATGTTGCAGTTTAGGAAAAAAACTTAATAACTAGCATTTTATTGCTGAAAATATATGCTTGATTATTTCTGGCAACATTTATATGACATGTATGAGAAAAGGGTGCTCGATTTTTTCGATACCCAATTTACCTTTATTTTACGTATCCATTACGTATAAAACGCATTTAGGAAAAGTGTACAATGTCAAGAGCTTTCACCAAACTTCTTCGAATGTGATACCTTTTAAAGTTTACGTAGTGATCGCATTATTGAAGTCACGGTATTACTGTCCTGGTTAATATTATTATACTGATCTATTTTGAATGAAAATTTCCCTATTTTGGCAATATATTTTTGCAAATGTCAAAATAAACCTAAAAGAGTCGTGAATTTTTTCCTTGTTCTTCATATAAAGTCTATACATTTTTTTAAAAACCGTTAAAGAAAAATGAGAGTCGCTCTATGTACGCGCTTGGCCTTATACTAATCAGGGCAGTGCTAGTATTATTAAAGAAAAATATTTTAAATTATTATTTTTTTCAAATGAAAATATTTAAGCATAATAATTACAATAATTTCGAAGAACATTGTGTCAGATTATGATTCCATTGAACATTTATACAAATGGGCATTTTTAATATTATTGTGGTATATAAATTTTATATAGTATATAAGAAATACATATTGAATTTTTTTTATTAATATTATTAAAGATTTGAATTTTTCATTTTAAAAAAATAATTTTAATTGTTTTTTATTTTTATTTTCTTCTGTTTTATATTGTTTCTATACTTTGTATTGTTTCTTTCCATTATAATTTTAATGAATATAACGCTTTTCTATTATGAATTTTATTAGTTAGTTCATTTTAGAGCTTATTAAATGAAATATTTAAGTTCTGAATTTGGTATTTAATTTTTGAAATTGTCATGAGTTTGCATTAATATTATATACGAATAATATTTTGTAATCTAACAAGTCTTCCATAATGCAGTAATACGATGTTTGAATTTTACTCACGATTCTATAATTAAACAGTATTTTGCAATTTATTTTCAGGCTGAATCAGATTTAAAAATCGTAATCCTGCCATATACATGTTACATATTGTCAACAATCAATTTCGAAATGTAAAATTAAATGGTATATTTTCGAAAATATAAGAAATATGTACGTTTTACATATTATAATATAAGAAAATTAAATATCATTTAAAAGTTAAAAAAATTAAAAAATTATTTTAGCTGAGAGAAAATAATTCTTTGGTTTAATTTCTTATTTATTAAATGTTCTCTCCCTTGCTCTGTATCTGTAAATCTCTCTCACATTTTTATTGCTCTAAAATCTTATGTGTTAATATGGAAAGCGTTATACAAATCAATAATATTTCTTTAAGAAAAGAATACAATACTTTGGACGGGCTGTTAAAATGTACTTTAAATTTGCCAATAATATTGTATAGTAATAATAATAATAATGACAATAAAATCTAAAATTTAAAAAAAATTTCTCATTTTCAAAATATATATTTTCTTTTCATCTATATTATATTCTTTTATAATATTTAAATTCGACTAAATAATCACTGATATAATTTTTCTAATATCATAAATAAATTAATTATATTCAGTGACAATTTATTAAATTTTTCTTTCATTTTAAATATTCAAAAATAAATTTATTAAAGTACCGCTTTTGATTTTAATTTTTATTCCATTCAGACAATTTTATTTTCTATTAAATATTTCAATAAAAATTATTAAATTTCTATAAATATATTTTTAATATAAATAATAAAATTAATAATTTGAAATTAAAATAAATTATTGAATATATTTTTAAGGTTACCATTGAAATTTTTAAGTAGATTTTAAAAATTATTTAATGTTTGTGTTGAAAAATTACAATAAGAAGCTACTAAGATTTATTAATTTAAATAAACATCAATAAATTTAAATTAAATTATGATTTATAATTATCAAAATTAAATAGTAAAATTTTATTTTAATTCAATTATAAAAAAACTTCTACGAAAATTGAAAATTTTAATTAAAAGTAATTAAAATGTAAGCATTTTTTAGCATTTTATTTTAGAATAGGACAATTATTTTTTGTTTTTTAAATTTTCTTTATGGTTATTATTACAATAATTTTTTATAATAATTAAAATAAATGAAAAAGCGGCAGGAGGCATTTTATTTTGAAATTTATGTTAGGTATATATGTGGTAATATAATTGTAGATAGGTACAAAGATAGATTTTTCTTTTATTTATAAAGGTATTTAATAATATATAAGTGAATATGTATGGATTTTTTGTATTTCATTTTGTATTTAAATTTTATACAATTTGTTATATAAATTTATGTACTTTTTCATTATAAAAATTGAATCTCAAAGAACTTTTATGTAGAATAATTAAAATTTGAAAATTTCCATTGTTTTTCGAATAATTTCTGTAATATATTAAACCCAAATTGGGCAGTTACCATATTAAAATATTGGATTTTGCAACTACAGATTGCAAAATTTTATTTAATATTTTTGAAAAATTTCATCGGGAATTAATCCACGCATTATATGAAAGTATAAAATTATATGAAAGTTTACTTTAGTTTTCTGAACTAATGTAATGGAGCCCTTGAAATTTACGGTATTGTGATCTTTGTAGCTGAACTATACTTTAAAATCAATTTTTTTTTAATTAGTTTTTCAATTACATAATTGGATTTTCGCTTATGTCATGAAAAAAAAATTAAAATGTCGAATAAATTCAATATCGACCTGAGTTTTGCAGTATTTTGAAAAAGTGAGATATATACAGCCTTCTTACTTACCGAATGAGAATATTATGAGTGAATATTAAATTCATTAAAATGTATTTTTTAAATGACAGAATAGTGAGTAAAAAATTGAGATCCAGAATAAACTTAAAATTGCTTTTAAGCAAAATTTACAAGTTTATAAATTCACAGTAAATTTAATAAACAATTTCAAGAAGGGACGTTGACCAATTTTCATTTATTATCTGGATCTATGCGATTACAAAAAATATTCTGTGAACAGGAAATAATGAATTGATTGAATAGAGATCTGGTTAAGTTTAGGCATAAAAGTTCTTAAACATTTTTATTCTGAGCTTTCATAATTTATTGAAAAGTGCCATAATTAAATTTTATATATAGAAATTTTTGTTTGGTATATGCGTTGACCCAATATGTATAGGATCACTAATATTTTAAATTGATATGATGGTTTTATTTTGTATTGAATTTAATTTTCAATTATTCATTTCTTCTTTTTATTTTTTTTTTACTCTATAGAAAGGTATTACAATTTTTTTTAAAAGGTATCGTAAGAATATGATTTTCAAGCATATTTTAATAATCAAGAGATTTTAATTATTTCAATTTCCAAAAAATAAAGTGGTAAACTAAGCTTCAACTCATTGTCTTAAAAAAATTAAAAATTTTAAAATTTAAAAGCAAAACTTATTGAAAGTGGTTGTAATACAACAAAATAAAATTTCAATTTGATTTTGAGATCAATATTGAAAAAAAATAATTGTTATATGATATTTTGATAAAACTGTTATACGTATAATGAATTTAGTAATTAATTTAAGTAATAATAATAGGATAATTTAGCGTTTATAAGCGTTTTTTTTTTTAATTTTTTTTAAAGCAATCTTTTTTTTTTGAAGTCATCCTTAATCAGTATAGTAGCTATGTATATATGTCTTATATATGAATATATGTATATATTTATATATTGATTTGTTTACGTTATATTGTACGCATTTTATCGTAAAAAAAGCCTAATAGTTTCAATTAAATATGTTTTCAATTTTTGTTTTTACATTATATACGGAATATTATGTACAGTAGAAAAGAAAAAAAGCTATACGTTATCATAGATTCATTTTTTTTGCTGTATGTTTTTAATAACTTTCTTCTACTGTTATTCTACTTAATTATTAATAATTTTTTAATTTTATTATGTGCTATTTTTTAATTATTTATTTTAAGCTGTAAACGATATTTTATATGTTTTGCGTAATTTAATATTAAATTACTGCTATTTAAATTTTGATTTTTTTTTATTCTCCGTTCTAAAATTGATTTGTTTTCGAATCATTACTATTACTATTTTGGATTTGTACCAATCGAAATGCTTCTCTAATTGTTGGTGTCATTAATAATCTTAGATTTTCCTCAGCCTCTTGTGGTAATGATTTTAATAGTTCCATTGATGCAACAACTAATTGTGATAAAGCAGCACGTTTATAATTTAAATCTTTCATAATACTAGTTGCTCTCTGTTGTTCAATTTCTGGAGAAATTTGTTCAACTTCTGGTTTTTGTGGTCGATTTGTATCAAATGGATTTGTTCTTGATTTCGGTTGAAATTCACTTATTAATGTTGTCATTATAATATTGTCATCATCGGGTGATTTAATTGGTGATGATGTTGACATTAAAGAATTACTTTCACCACCCGAATTTGATTGTTCATCAGAATTTGATGTTAATGTTGAGCTACCGCTACCACTTTTTTCGGAATCAATAGAACCATGACGTTCATCAATTTTACCTTTAAATTTGCGTATTTCATCGGGTGTTGTTGCACATTTTATACTACCACTATTATTATCATTTTCATGTAATATTGTATTATTTAAATATAATTCACATACTAAATTCCATGCATCTTGTAAACAAAATAAATAACGTACAAAATTCTCCTTCTTTTTTACAGTTGTTGTATTCAATCGTGAACATGATTCCAAAATATAATTCAAGTCTTCGGTACCCAAATTATAAATAACAATATCATTTAAATATGAATCAACTAATGCAATATAATAAATCATCCAAGAAGATGTCATTTGTTTATATAAATTTGCTGCATATTCAATATTTGCAACTTTTTGCATTAAAAATTTTAAACCAGGTCTTGAATCAAATTCTAAAGAACTTGTTAAATACTGTTTAACACAACGTAATAAAATTTCCTTGGAACGAAAATCTAGTTCATATTCTGGGCTATTTGTTGTTGCATAATTATCAAACATACATGTATGTACAGCGGATGGTACACATTTTAATCTAGCCATTAATAACTTTGCAACCAATTGAAGAAGCATTTGATTGGCCAATAAACCGACAACTAAATTTTTAAATGGTATACGTATAACAAAATTATCTAAATTTGAGCTGAAGCCATTATTTAATGGATATAAAAGAAATGAATAACTACGATCATCGCTTGGATATTTATCAACGTGGCTTGTTGATTTTGTCAAATCACGTTGATTATCTAATAGGAATACTTGTTGAGCCAATGAATAAATACGGTGTAGTTCCTCTAAAGTGCTATCTCGTCTTGCTGCAACTTTGACATTTGCACAATCACCATAAAAACTGTTCGATTTTTCGTGAAATGCAAATGATAATTGCCTTAGTGGTGCAATTGTTACTGTACAAGCACGATGTATTGCTGAACATACAATCATCCATTGTGATTCATTGAACAAGTGTCCAGTTGATAGTACTACATGTTTTAGGCATGATACACCAACTCTTGCTATTGTTTCTTGAGCTTGTGCTGAGCATTCAATCAATACTAATAATAACTGTTTCAAAGCTAATGTCGCTGGACCGGATATTTTTGTTGGTGATTCAACATAATTATCAGATGAACTTTCAGAAGATGAGCTATCTAATTTAGAGTTTGTTTTATAACCTAACAAATTTTTAGTTGATTGATCTTTATTAGTATTATTATGTACATCATTGCTATCATGACACCCATTACTGCAACCATTATTACTATAACTATTATTGTTATTACCATTACTGTTATTTAAATTGTTACTATTATTACCAGAAACATCGTTCAACACTGTCATACCAGGACTATTATTATTACTATTCAAATTACTTGCAGATGAAGATGATGATGATGATGATGCTGATGAAGTTATTAGTGCAGAATTTTGTATTAACTTTAATTGTGAATATTTCATATTATCTACTGGTCTTAATATTGTCGTTACTTTTGCTTTACACCCAGTCGTTCCATTTGTTTGTATAAAAGCTTTTTTAGTTTCATTGTTAGTGCAACGTTTTTCAGAACGTTCTATAAAATCTACAACTAAATCTGTTGTCATACAACAACAATGCTTAAAATTTTTCTCAATTGCTAACCAGTTAGCGCCAGTCTTATTAATATAACGAAGCCAATCTTGTATCATTGGGATCAATAAATGATTTGTACAATAAAAGCCAAAGTCAATTCCAGGACTCTGTGACAAGTTTTTAAACAATTTGAATATTGTTTGTAGTATTGGAGCTTGATGTGGTATAGGGCATACAATTAATGAATTTGTTAACCCATCCAATAACAAAAACCAAACTTTCAATACACCACTTGGCTTATCCATTTCATCAATTTTTGTTATAGTGTCTTTATCGATATGCAAGGACCTATATGAAATCATGTGTTGTTCATTCTTATTCTGTAAATAGTCATTACCAAAATATGTAAAATTTTCCATAGAGTTTGGTATATTTGCATCTATAATGTGGGTATAAGTGATGCCTTTGATTTTATAAGTTGAATGAAAGTTGGGACATTTCGGCATATTGTACATAAAACCTAAAATCGATGAGCAACGTTCTAAAAATCTTAAAGTTTCATGTAAAAACTCGACCGGTCTAAAATTGTTTTCTTCTGCGCCACTATTATCAGATGAATTTCCACCACCTGAAATTTCTAAATATGATAGAAGACATAATATACAGTCTAAGCCAGCATTTGCAAACACTAAAGTATTATCGCTGTCTAAAAAGACGCGAAAAATATCAATGATGTTTCCAATATTCAACATTCTACATCTAGCATTCCTTAGCGTTCCAAATAAAGGACGCCATCCAGAACGAATTTCAGTGCGATGCGCTTCAACGATTTCATACAAACATGCCACAATTTGATCCTGTACGTCAATATCACAAGTGTCCATACTTAAAAGATTTTCAAATGGTTTAAGTAGTGCTTCATTGAAATGAAAATGAGGCAATTCCGATTGTTCAACCAGCAGCGCTGTAATAATGTCATGTATATATTCTATAGCACGTTTTGATATAACTCTTTCCTTATGACAAGCGGCCTTAAATGATTTTGTAGTTAGTACAAATTACATTATTTAATTACAACAATAGACTCTCTATCAGACTTACATCCATTAAATGTGGTCCGGTTATAGCCCAAACTTTCAAAATATGTAAAAGCGGTCTAGAGCTCCGAAAAACTTTTAATGTAACATCTCCAACGCGATGTAAAAGTAATGATAAAGGTAGTGAATCAGCTTTTTTCCATCCACGACTTGGCCACCAAATTCTACCACCTTTTCGGACTGAATTACTTTTATACAATTGCTCTCTTGAAGCCCGACATAAACTTTTGAGAAACTGACAAATTGATGGTAAACTTAAGCGTTCTGCTGCATCATTAAATAAATTTTCAGCTTGATGTGACAGTGCACATAAAACTTTTGATGTGTCAGATTGACTTAACAATACTGGTTCATTCGAACCAGAATAAACCTTTAAAATCGATGCTACATTTGTATTTGGAGCTTGCATTGGCGCTTGAAGAAAACTGTACACATCCACACTAAAATAAAAATATTAATAACTAATCAATAAAAGTACAAAAACAAATATATTTTACCAAGTTTCATCATCATCGATTGGAATTGTTGACAAATTTAATTTATCCTTTCCAGGTGAAGTGTTTAATTTCTCCCCAGTTTCCATATCTCTTCGATTGGTTGTTGGTGAAGTCGTAATAGGATTTTGTAAACTAAATATGTCATGTTCTAATTGTGTGACATGTCTACAAACTGCAAAAACTGAGTGCCAACAATCTGCACTGTATGACCCTAAATTTAGTCCACCAGTTAAAACAACATCCATAGACATTGCTTGGCTTGCCGAAATGCGGGGACCAGAAGTCTGGCAAACATTTGATGATAAAAGGTTTAATATTTTACCAGCCAAATGTTGTAAATTAAGAGAATTGCTTAAAGTTGCAGCCTAAAGAATGAAAATATACTACAAATAAATAAATAGCTATTTAAAACACATAATTCTTTACCGCATGTAGACCATCTAAACACATAGCGTATAAAGCTTCACCATTATTTTTGTTATGTTTCATTTTGACTCTTAGCGTTCGTTTTGATAATGCAACCAATCGATTTGATCCATTCGTGGTGAAATCACCTAAACCGGTACTTAGTACTGTAACCATTGATTCCCAACAACAAGTCAACAATCTTCTACTGAGCTTTTTTGCTGCTTCTCTTCTGTCATTATAATCTTCATTATATCTGACAGCAGATGATTGTAATCTTTGCCATTCGGACATCATTTGAGTTGCACCCAAACCACCTGCATCACATAACATGTCAACCAAAGCACATCGAGTTGAATCTATTTCAGATTTTTTCAAAGCTTCTAAAGGATTCGTTACAATTACACATTGATACAATTCACAAAGCCACGGTGTAGATAAATACACTAGAACCCCAGTATTCTGTACAGAAGTTACAAATTGCTGTTCGGACATAGGAATAAATATTCCTTTATCTGGATCTTCATAATGTCCAGCTCTTATCAATTGCAAACTTAACAATAGTGCTGAATAAATAGCTAAATAAATTCCGTCAGCATTTATTGCTGTTAAATTGTAATCAAAATCTGAATAATTCATACTATTCTCGTGACATATTGCGGAAGCAAATTCCTGCATAGCTTCGTCAACCTCAACACATGATCGCAAACGAAGTAATTTTGGTACTAAATCATTTTGCAAAGACTTAGCAAAATCTCTCGCGTGATATCGATCATTGTCAGTATCTAATCTGGTGGGGATTACTGGTGCTTCTAAATGAGAATATGGCCATAAATTTTCAACTTTTGATGACCCTTCATCACTGGAAGACTGTGCATCATCCTCAGGACCTTCTGTATCACCGGAAGCATTTGATGTAATATCAGCTTCATGTTGAGCATCTCCATCACTCTCAGATCCTGAAGAGGTTTCAAAACCATTCTGTCTCAATTCTGCGACAGCATCTCTGTAAGGAGCGGGAAGTCGTGCCATTGACTGGTAGGTTAATGGGCCAGTATAATCAGCTTCTCGCAATGTTGGATGTCGATAATTTATTACATCTACGATCTAAAAGTAAATTTAAATTAAAAAAAAAGACATTTTCATCTAACTCAAGGTATTATACTTGATCGCTGATGGTGTTTTCGTTAATTTCACCAGAACACAATGTTTGAAGACTGTCTAAAAGCGCCACAACGCATTCAACACTTGCTTGTAAAGATTGTTCATTTCCGCTTCCTGTTTGTACTGCAAGGGCACATTCCTCCATTGCGTCAATAATCCTAAGAAAAATAATGGTTGTAATAAATATTGGATATTAAAAAAAATTCGCATTACAATCTAAATAATGCCATTTCATCGCTACATCCTTGGCTAGTATTTTTATCCAAATATAGAATAACAGCTAAATCCACCAGTCTTTCTGGACTTTTAAAGATCTCTCTAACACATTTTAATGGCTCGGTTCGATTTTGGGGTGCTGGAAGTAACAACATTCTGTGAAATAATGCTTCAAGCATTGGTCTTAGTGATCCTTGTGCTCCCGCTATTCTTAATAATTGAATTCCGGTTAAGTAAACACATCTTGCTTGTGGACCATCTAATCCTGGTCCTGTGAAAAAACCTCTGGCCTCATTTTCAATAATATGAAGAGCATCTCTGAAAGCATATATAAAGTTTTTTAAACTCTTGGTTATAAATTATTTTAAAATAAATACTTATAAGTGAATTTTTTATCCAAATTAATTCGCCCTGGTGAACCTAAAGCCGCTGCTAAAGTAGGACAAAATTTCTGCCACAAAAATGATGTAAAATGAGGATTTACTTGTACACCTCTAGGTAATGATGACGATAATGTTAGTATACATTCAGTTAAAAATAATGAACCATTAGCTTCAGTTTTCTTTGGTGTACCTACTTTTGGTTCAATTAAACGACTACACAACCATTGCATTACTGGTATAACTTCATTGTAAACAGCTGAGGCTTGTGCTGCTGTTATCATACCTGGTGGTGCAGTTTTTTGAACTTCTTCAGCTTCATCTTTAAGAAAAGCACAAAATGTTCTTAAACATTGACTTGCTGCTGCTAATGAAGCAGCACGTACAGCCCGCGAACCAGTCTCCCAACATTCACCACATCTACCAAGTATTTCAATTAAAAGCCGACCATTTAAAGTGCATGTTGGTGAACAAGCCATTGCTAAAAATAATCGTAATACATTTACTACAGTATCTTCAGTACTAGCTGAAGGGGTTACACCTATAGTAGCACGAAGTAATTGTGCTGGTAACCAAAGTGAATCATCTTCTGGCTCAAGACCAATAAAAAAACGTTCATCTTTTATTATTCGCTACAAAAGAAATTTATAAAGTTCAAAGGATTTATTATTAAAGTTAAGTAAAGTGGAGAAAAAAAAAACTTACATGTAACCCGTTTAACCCCATTGTAATATATTTTGGACGTTTTGTTTCTAGTGCCATCTGTAGTGCAGTTAAGCATACCGAACGTAATTCATGCGATGGATCTCTGTGTATTCCGTGTTGTCTGTATAATTTGTCTATAAATATTGTAGTAAAATAAGGAAAAAGAAATAAATAAAAATTGGAAATTTTCCAAATCATACACAAAATACGAACAAAGTGTAAAAGTAAAAAGACAAAAAGGACATAGAATGCATAGAAATAAAAACATATAAGTAAATGTATAGGAATAAAAAATATATAGATTATATTGAGGTCAATATTACGATTCTTACCATAAGCAATTTGAGCTGCTTGTTTGAGGGTGTTATGTTTCGTCCCAGTTGACTCTTTAATTATTTGCAATAGTAAATCTTCCATTTTGAAGGCGTTCTTGTATGTATTATCAGGATCTTTCACTTAAATATTCTCTTTGTTTGTAAATTTGTTTCTTGTATAGATTAAAAAGTTCTTCTTTTGATTTAATTTTGAATTTATTTCAGTTGTAAATTAACCTAAAAACAAGAAAGAAAAAATAAAAATAAAAATTATTTATGCAAGCAACAACAACAAATCCGTTCTCTTATAATTTATTTATTCCTATTTGTTATTTTCAAGAGAATTCCAATGAAAACTTTTTTGGATTGAATGATATGGGGTGTAAGAACTTTTCGAAATTTATTGCAATTTTAATAAACCACACGTACTAAATAAATATTTGAAGATTAAACTTCAAATTATATTAATATTGTGCATGTGCTGTAAAGAATTTTTAAAATTAAGTAGTTCGAAACTTTTTATTTCTTGGTATTTGAGCAATTTTTTTTAATCGTTGGTCAAAACGTTTATGGGATTATGAAAAATTGAAATTTAATTGCTTATGTCATATATAGGTACAATATAGTTTAAAAAAGGTGAAATATAGTTTAAAATTGGTTGATTTTAATAAAATCGATGAGTCAAAGTGATTTTTAAAATTAAAAAAAGTGACCTGACTATAAGAGATTTAATAGTTAAAATAATAAATTAAATAAATTTATTTTGGCTTTTAAAGCAAATTTTAATCAAAAATTTGTAGAATTTTGGCTTAGAATAATTTTTAAAATATTTCTAGTACTATAGTTTAGTTTAATTTAGAGAGGGGAGGCGGCAGCCCCAATGCTAACACCCACCAGCACACACCATCCCCCTAAATCCATTAAAGTCCCTTGAAAAAGCCCAGCAGATCACTCACAGATACCTCTGAGAGCTTCTTCAATCCATCGAACCGATATCCTTCCAAAAAGCGCTCCCTCCTCCGCATAAGAACGGGGCACTCGCACAGCATATGATTCATATCCTCTATCATCCGAATATCTTGGCATCCCCGGCAAGTAACCGATGAGGAAATGTCAAGACTCTTAACTATCTTCCCCTAATAAACAGTGTCCTATCAAGATGCCTGCTGCAATCCTGAAATCGTTCTTGCAACTTTTTCTATATTATTCATATTATATTTTTTATATTTATACTCTGTGATTTTAAATCTACCTTTGGACCTCAATCTTTAGTGTTATCTTGATAACATTAATTCCAAATGGTTTATGAGTTCGTTAGAAATTAAATAATTAAATCGAAAGGGGTAATTCATTCACAGTTTATTACTAGAAACCTATAAACGTGTCAACTTTAAGTAGAGGACACAAAAATTTTGGTTAGCACGGTTAAGAATCAAAGATTTTTAATAAATTTAAAAGAATTAATAAAAAATTTAATTTTTTATTTCAACTATGGTAGTCCGACAATATTAATATTTTGTAAACGTCAATTATATGATCACAGCTTATAAGAATACGATATAATAATTTCGACAATATTATTCGAATTGCTATGAGAAATACTAAAGGCCCCCTCCTGCAAAAGAGTTCTAATTATTTTATAATCAAAATTTACAAAGTAAGAATTCAACATAACAACCATTGTGTATGCCATGTGTAAGATGACACAGGTGTATAGGTATATAAGTTTTAAAACAAGCTTAAGGCAATTAAATATTTCAACATGCTATCCATTTAATGTGATACAATATAATATTCTTCTCCGTTTGCGAATACGCACATACCTTTATTATAATATATACCTATTCCTATATATACCGCATAATATCTGTTACATTTAGTTCCAGCATTTCATTTTAATTATTTATTACAATCAGTACCAGCTATATAATAATATAAAAAGTTTTTTTTTTAAAGATACGAAAAGTTTCAAAGTAAAAGATAAAAATATACAATGTGTAGGTTTTTATGTGGGAGATGTAAGGTTAAATAAATTTTTAAAAAGTATATATATATACATTATAATATATGTATGTAATATGAATGTTATTTGTAATAACGGGAAAAGGGTATTATAACAATGTTCAAAAAGGTATACTTACATACCTTTACACGTATACAATATTAAAACAAATTTAATTCGTAAATATTTATATATATATATATATATATATACGAAATTGTGTAACAAGGACATATTTTTCGGATATAAAAATTTCATTTTCTACATAAGAAAAACAAGTCACACCGGAAAATTAAATATTATAATAAGTTGAAAAGCAAGAACAAAAAAGAAATGGAAATAAAATAAAAAGTTAAATATCAAAGATTATAATGTAAATACTTATGGTACTTATACATACATATATGTATGCATATATATATATATAGATCATGAATATTAAAAAGAATTTTATATGGAAACATTAAAAGAAACGACATCGTTTTCTGAATAAATTCATAAGGAAATCTAAAAAGATTAGTAATTTTGCTTTTAAAGTAGAATTTTTTTTTGTGCATTATTTTTTTGTTAAGGTGAAGAAAAATAGTGAAATATATGTAAGAAAAATTTATCATGATTTATTGTTAAGGATATTAAGGGATCCAGTATTTTGACTTTAAAAGAACGTACCAAAAATACCTTCATATCATAGGTGCCATAATGAAATTATGGATCTAATCTTGGAAAAAAAAAATAAGAGTTATTTATCAAATTAAAATAAGAAAAATTATTCGACTACATTAATTCAATTATAATAAATACAATCAGAGTCGGTATTAGCATCATTTGTTGCCTTACGCCTATGCGAATTGGTCTAATTTTTGTTACCTATGTTATTAAATTTAAATTTTAAATTCACATTTTAGAGTTTGGGTTGGATTAATTTGTACCCAAAATAAAATGAAAATGAATTTTTTTTTTTAAATTTTAGGCCAAAAATAAGAGGGTGACAAAAAGGTAAATTTTCAATAATATGATTTTGGCCGAAACTTTTATAGCAATATTTTCGAAATACATATTAGTGAAATTAAAATCGTATCTGGCTTCGATTAAGGCGGAAGAGCATGTTTTGTTAAAGAACATCGGTTGCTGTTTTGTATCCTTTAGTTTATGCATATTTGTTTAAGCACTCAGTTTTTACAGAAAATTATTTCAATAAACCTCATTTTTTAGCACATCTCCAAAAATAAATCGTAAAAAAGAGCTTACAAGTTTTTCTGTTTTTATAAATTAACATTTTTTTAAAACGTTTTTTTTACCGCGAAACAATATAGTTTACCATATTAAATTGACCTATAATATTGACAGTTATTCAAGAGCCCTTTTTTCAAATTTTGGATATCGTTCTTCTAAAATTTTATCAACCTTTTGATGCTAAAAAATAATTTATTCCGTTATTTAAGAAAATTTTTTTTACATCTCAATTCCCTGCCCAATTACCGCCTCTCGAAATTTGGAACGCTTGTATTTTCGGCGCATAAAATTTCTAATTCTGTAAGTTTTTCTAAATTTTTATAAGTGCAGAAAGCTAACACCAAATACCATGCCATCAAAAAATATAGCTTTTTTTATTAACTCGCCCAGATTACCCTTACTAATATTTGAGCATTATGTTAATGTTTCTTTCAACTTTTTGCTTTTTTCATCCTGTATGCAAAAAATATATATATTTTGGTAGATTGCTATAGGTAAATAAAATAAAAATAATTTCACTTGTTTGAAGGTTGAGGCTTTCTAAATGCGATTTCTATTACTTACTTGACCGACTTTTAATATTAATACTAATTATGTTTAAGATACTGAAAATTTTATTATCAAAAAAATAAAAAAAAAATTTAACATTCTAAACATTATTTTTAATATTTTTTTTAACATTTTGTGTCATTTGACTAGAATCTAATAATTCAAGTATGGGAACATAAATCTTTCCTTTTTTTTCCATAGTTTGTGCAAAAAAATAAAAATTCTATTCAATTTTAAAAAACAATGAAAACATATGAGCTTTTATAAAATTTATTATCAATTGCAAATGACATTAGAAAGTTATAACTAGTTGGAACCACTTATAACAAAATATAAAAGCATAAAAGATAATGAAGAGTTTTCAATTTTGTAATTTATTGCTTTTAAATAAATTAAATCAAAAATTTTGCCTTCTTTAGCCGCCAACAATTTTATTTTCTCTTTTTGCTTTTAAATGCAAAAAATCTCATTTCCCGCACCCTCTTTGTATATTTATCTCTCTCTTTCTCTCGTTCTCTCTTTTTCTGTCACTTTCTGTGGATTATATAGGAAGTTGTAAATGCAATTGGAAATGAAAAACTTATATTTATTAAATACTTTTTTTATAATGTACGATTGTATGTATAAATGTGTATTATAAATGTATAAAATTGTAAAGTTTAAACAAAAAAAAAAAATGAACATCAAGGATATGTAATTTTTGAACTTTAAGTCCTTGATCTATTTTAAGTTCAGTAAAAAATGAAAATGTTTCTTTTCTCTTTTGCTTTTTACTATGAAAAGCACTTATGTGCAAGAACACATACACATGTAGATGTATATATTGGCCGTATAATGTAATATTAAATGAAATATGAAGGTTTTTTTGTTGTTATTTTTGTATTGATAGAAATTTCGAATTTGGAAAAATATTGATCAAATATACGAGTACAAAAGAGCTTTAAAATATTATTCCAATATTTTCATGGATGCTTAACTATTAAATACATGTAACATAATATCAAAAGCATAGTATGAAATTACATCAAAAAGGATGAAATACGAATCATATCAATTGCACTACGAGTACATATAAGGGAAACTACTGAGAATAAGGAAGGTATTGTGATGACATCAAATTTTACATTTTTAACATATTTAACGCTTATAATAAGCATAACCTGTTTGATATCATAGAGCACGGCTGGCCATGGTTCTTGGTGGTCCGAGCCATTTTTGAAAATTGAAAACTTTTCGAGGGTAGCAATCAAAACTGTTCAACTTATCAACTTATCCAAAATTCAAGCTTACTGGAATGAAAGCTCACAAATTCGAAATCAGTTTGGGATCAATCGATTACGGACAATTACACTACTGTCTATTGCTATTCTATTGCTAGTCTATTCCCGAAGTCTTTAAAGAGTCGTATCATTCTTAATTTGAATGAAAATGAAATTTCTTGCAACGTTGCACT